TATACAAAACGTAAAGCACAATAAGCAGCAGAAAGATTCTTCTTATCCATGACTATATTAATAATATTTTGACTCGCGTGTTTGATGTGATCCAGTCAGACTTTCGCATTATTCGTAATTCTGAATTTGAACTCGAGGTTCAAACAATTGAAAGCTAAGCAAGATATAAAGCTAAGAATAGCGCTGCTGGATTCAAAAACAAAACAATATTGTCGAAATGAATTTGAAGCCGAAGGTTGTATAGATGATACAACCCTACTATAGTCTAGATTTTTTTAACAAAAGGTTTTTCTCTTTTATGTGTTAGTACAACAATATTTGTGGTGTTACTGACGCTTGCTTTCTTATGCTTAAGAATGGATTTTGCAGATGGGTCCGGGTCTACCAGAGTAATAGTGGCGCTGACAGTGAATGATGGATCATTGTTGATGGCTTCAGTAAAAGTGGAATTCCTACAAATAAAATGCAGCATTAAGTCACTTAGAAAGCATTTCAAGAGTTATAATAAGATCAGTAATTCCATGAGTGGTCTTTAAAAAGAAACAAGTAGAAAAAATACACTTGCACTATTATAATTGTTCTTTTCAATTACAACTTTAATTGACAATTTATTTAGGTGATTTTCCAAAACATTATTTTATTTCGCTATTGTTTTTCTTACAACTGCTAAAGCGCTATAGTGCTACTTGACAATATTTGAAGTGCTGTTATTGTGTTTACATTTACAACTTTTCTGGCTTTTATCATTTTTCATATTCTTAATGCCAAGTTAACTTGAGCTATTTTATCTTAAGTTGTAATTTTACATACTATTTTTTTTTTAAAATGAAGGTATTAAGTAAGTTTCAATTAAGCGGTCTAATCCTCATAAGAATAATTATCAGACATAAAATGTATTTTCTAAGTTAGTTACTTATAGTTAAAAAGAATGTATTTCAGAAATGAACATGAGCAAACACTAAGTAACCTTCATCGTGAATTTTGTTTAAAATTAAACCCAAACTCACACACCTATTTTTTACTCTTTCCAATCAAAATTGTGTATCAGTTTTTCTGTTAGAATTAGCATTCGGATTTACTTTACTTTGAAGTACAATGAAACAAATCTGTTGATATTACTATTAGACAACAAACAGTGCTCCATATAATTGTTTTCTGTACGAAGTACTCACTCCTAGAATTCTGTCAGTGGGAGTAATTTTAAATTTGTTTACAAAGTGCAGCAGAAACATTTTGTGATGAAAAGTAACTTAACTAATTATGAATTATTTTATTACTTCAAAAGGTGAAATTTAGCACAGGACTAATTTAGCAAATTAAATCACCTGATGTAGTCATAATAAACACAAGTAATGACATTACAACTTTTTATTTTATTTTTTACCCACAATTTATAGGCCTATTAAAGCATAAAGGTGCATGTTTTTCTTTCACTTGGTAGGCTAAACAAAACACTTTTAAGAAAATCAGAAGTTAAGGGTTTGTACACAAAATATATATATAGACCGATTCAGTATTAAAGTGCATGTTTTCATACATTGCATGCTTTATAATCTATTCGTAACTCGAGCACCCTGAGAAAATCAGAAGTTAAGCACTACCTTGAGATATTATAATAAACATGCAGCTCAAAAACATGAATTAAAAAAATAATAATACCTAAATTAGAACTAAAATATCTTGACAGCCACGACTAATGATGTTTCTATTTTGAAACACTATGTGTGTGCAGACCTATTACTATTTAATGGTTGGAGACGGCTTGAATGGGTAATGAAGAAAACATTTAATACAAGTTTAACACAACAGCAAATGTACAACGTTTCGACAAGGTTTTGTCATCATCAGGTTTTTTTTTTCTGATTTTGTAGGGCTGAAACAATCTTACTTCTCTCAAACATTTTTTGTTTTTCATTTCTAGTGGGCAACAAACAGTTGAAGTTGTTTGCGTCTAGTTCTATCAAAACAACTCCCATTAATGTGCTTAATTTTTCTGTTGACAAAGAACGCCGATATTTTGTTTCGGGTACTAAACCCTTTTTCGCACTCTACGCTTGTGAGACACGTGCAGAGTGTAATTTCGCAAAGGAGTGCAAAATTTGGTACAATCTTTGGATCATACATGAGTGCACCAATATAAACTTTCGGTGGTTTGAGAGTACTTATTTTTGCAGCTCCACTGTGTGAATTTTACAGATCTTGTGTAGAACTGCAGAAAGCTACAAGAATGTGCGCGTTAATTACTATATTACCGTTAAACCGGCATGAGCCGTATTCGTTTTTCGACAGCAGTAAATCAACTTCTCAATATTTTTAAGGCCGTGAATGACTGATTTTTGGTCGGGAATTACGCAGGTACGCCCCTCATCTGGAGAACTGAACAAAAAACCATTAGCAGCTAGTTCTAAACTGTAATAGTCACTAATATTATACAAAGAGCATAATGTAACAACTATTTTACCGTATCGTTGTGAGAAATAAACTGAAATATTATATATATATATTTAGTTGAAATATAGTTTCGAATACGTACGTTGTAAAAACCATCTCATTGTCGTTTCTAATTGTAAAAACTTTAGGACTATAATCACACACTAGCTTAAAGGCTGCGTCACCCTTAATAATCAGGTCATCGTCATGCTGTAGTACTAAAACGTTAGTGTAGAGGGCATTCTCCTTTAGGAAAAGTAAAAATTAATAAAAGTAAAAAAAAAACAACAAAAAAAAGAAAACAGATCAGTAATCTCAAATTCGACGTAAACACTTAATTACGTGTAAAATGTCTTTATTCTTCATACAAAAAATCCCTTGAGCAAGTAAAATTTATTGTTTTGTTTATAATACAAAATTGGTGCCAAGTACTATTTAATTAAAGTTAGATTTACAAACGTTTTAAATATAAAACACAATATACTGTATCATTATATTTACAGTGATAAATAATCTGACTAGAAATATGGTTAGAGTATAGGAATAGGTGGAGATCATATCACTTGAAATGCTCGTAATGTCAACCATAATATTTCATTTTGGGGATTTTGTTTGAAATTAAGCACAAAGCTACACAATGGGCTATCTGTGCTCTGCTCATTACGGGTATCGAAACCCGGTTTCTAGCATTGTAAGTCCGCAGACATACTGCTGTGCCACTGGGGGCCATTTTGGGGAGAAATTAACAAAGGAATGTTAGAAACTTCTGAAAGGAAATTGTTGAGAAAAAAAACAAAAAAACACTCGTATATTACAAAAGATGACAGTAGAAAGTCGAACTATTATTTTTAAAGTTTATCGTAAGTGCACATCACAAGTTTTTGAAAGTAATCTGATAGTTTCCATATCAGAAAAACAAACTGTTACATGATAAAAAATAATACATATCTAATAACTTTTTGGTTTGAACGAGGGCTATATCTGCGTTAGCCGTTCCTAATTGAGCAGGTAGTGTTGGGCTACTCTTTTAACAACAAATAGTGGGATTAACCGTCACATTATAACGCACCCACTGCTGAAAGGGGAGCACGTTTGGTGCCATGGGGGCTCCGAACCCGCGATCTTAAGATTGCGAGGCAAGCGCTCTAGCCACTCAGCCCTACAGGACCGATATCTTTTTTTCCTTACTGTTTGTTATTCTATACGCTATTTTGTTCACTTATTTTTGAGTTTTTATTTTGTATAAAAGAAAACCTAAAAATAGAATAATTTATAAAAGATTAATAAATTTAACAACCATAAAAATATTTACATTATACTATTTGGTTTAAATTTTTTTTTCTCGTTAAAAAATAAGAATTTCAATAAACAGATAGGTCACCTACAGATTTAGTGTTGCATCCTTTCAAAGGAATGTTTAACTGAAAATTCCTGCCAGTGTGAGCATCATATGAACATTCGGCTTTGCGGAAGCTTCCTCTGGTGTACAGAATTCCAGAAAAATTCTCACTTGTTTCAACGTCAACAGACATGTGATCTTCTTGACATTTCAAAGTAACCTTATCGTAATCTATTGAATATGAAATAAAAAGAAAGCAGTATTGATAAAAGACATAAACTAATGGATCATATCAGTTACGAAAGAGGAATAAATAATATTTAGAATATTCATAATCATGAAACACACAACCTTTTTCCTTTTCATTTATTCAAGCACGATTTAACATAAATATTTAACATCTGTGTTACAACCATTTAACGTAATATACGTGTTTTTGTATTGTCTCAATTGGTGCAAGTTAAAACATAAAAGAAAAAACGATATTAAATTTAAATAAATATTTCAGCACAATTGAAAAATGCATTAAACTTATAATTGGCTTCCATTATGCCTGTCGGGTCAAACAAATTCTTGACACATAGAAACACACTCAAATGCAACCACAGTACACATAGTAGGCGTTGTTAAATTTCTGACGTATACAGACACACTCAAATACAACCACAGAACACATAGTAAGCGTTGTTAAATTTTTGACGTATACATACACACTCAAATACATACGCATAGATAATTTCGTATATATTAAACGTTTCAATTTATGATTGACAATTTTGCAGATTATACTGATAGAAACTAGTCACATTCATCACGCAGAATATATAACCACCTTAATAAACATGTACAGTTTTTTCGTATACATAACGGGGAAAATGGCGCAATCTTATAACTTATAAGTGAGATTTTGTTTGAAATTTTCACAGAACCTCCACCACAATGATCATAAATAGTAACTAAATGTTTACAATTAAAAGGAAAATCCAAAAATAACTAAAATATCCCAAAACATTTAAGATATTTAAAAATATTTACTTGTTCATAAGGGTAAACTGCAGAATCGGCTACCTGAGCTGTGCCCGCAGCAGCGATCTTACTTAACCTTATATGTCTTCGAGCCATCGTTAGGGGGTGGGGGTGTAATTTAAAAAGGATATTGTACGAGTATTGTGGGAAATTTAATTATTTAATAAAAACGTATAATTATTTTAACCTAGTATTTACGTTGTAATTCCTTCTATAATATATTATTTCTCTCTTTTTAATTCAGTTATTTTAATTAGAAGGATGCGTCTGTTTTCGTCTCTCAAGTTACGAGGTAAGATATTAAAAGCACTGCATAAAACAAATAATTTAGTTAAGATATAAGCAACATTTCAAGCTCAACTGACTCACCTGCCGTAGCGATGACACAGTATAACGAACACACCATAATTGCTTTGGCTGCTAGCCTTTCTTTAAACTCTTTCATCTCGGTGATACACAGTTTGGAACAGTTCAGCGCTACAATTTACAAAGCTACACTGTTCTAGAAATAAAAGAAACGACTTAAAAATACCTCTTGATTTCTTTTTAATTTTCACTAGCGATAACTTACAATAAATCGAAAAAAAACGACGAAAATGTCCTTATCATTAGCACAGCGTACCTGAGACCTACTCACACGGATATGACTCCTAATCCTAGAGTCGCTGACCTACTTAGAGGGCAACTAACGACGAATCATCTCTCGAGGTAAAGCGGAAGTATCTGGCCAATTTTCACTTTATAGGTCACGGAGGAAGCGTTCATAAACTCTAAGAAACTTTATCGTGTCAGCAACTTCAACAAAATGAAGTCTTGGAATAAAAAATGTGAATCTAATGAAAGAAAGGAAAGCATATAGATATATTGGTGAAGTGATAATATTTTTGAATTTATTTGCTATTTAGAATAAAACTGATTGGTTGTTTTAGGCTGTTCGGTAAGAAATTTTGAGGAATTATAGAATCGATGGAGGGCGTTTTAAGCTCATACCTACCCGTAATTCTAAAAACTTATAAGTGAAAATAAAGACGAGTGTATAACAATATGTCAACAACGCTATATCTTATATATCCAATGACAACGAGGCCTTTCGCCCAATAAAAGAGCTCATCAGGTCGGATAGGATACGACAGGCACAGTTACGGCTAATTTGAGAAGGGAGAGAAGTAGGAGAGTTATTTGGCCCAGGCCTCAAGCTCAAAGAGGGCCTCAAATTTAGACACTTGTTCTTTTTTTGGATTTGTTAAATTTTGCGACTTGTTTTTATGTGCTTTTCAATCAGACCAAAAAGTGACATATTCAACTTAGAGCTGCAAATTATATATACAAATTAAATATTCAAATTATGTTTTACTTTTCTTTTGGGCTAATGATTATATTATTTTGTTTTCATGTATCATCATTTTTTATTACAGCCAGGGGCCTCAAAAGACAGAAATGGCCCGGACCTCTCTGAACCTCTGAGAGGGCCTGGGCACAGTAGTGGTTGAGACAAATCCGAGAAATTCTAACATTTTTTCACTCAACTTACATAAAATGTTTACTAAATGGATCGTGAACTCTTGGAATTAGGCGTTTAAAAATCGCATGTTAATTAAATTAGTCATAAAGTTATATAGGCTCATAAATGAGCTTGAATGAATTGTGAGCCTTTTGCTTGAAGAAATGTTTCTTAAACCTATTCTTTATATGTTATAACAGCTGCATGATTGATAGTTTTATAATTCAAATGCTGAAGCTACTCCAGACCATCAATTTCATGGTTATATCAGTTTCCAAGCATAAAGACAGTATGGCCTTATTCCCAGCGAAACCAATGAAACCATCTCAGCTTTATGAAACAACAATGAAAGTGCTTCATGTTTTACAATTTACATGATGCTGGGTATAAAATACTTACATTAATTTATTATGATAATCCAGTGAATAGAAACATATTTGAGAAACTGTGCGGTGGAAAGTTAAAAAGTAAGATCTCAGTCATGAACGTTTAGTTTTGATTGATTTAGTGTTGTTGTTGTTTTTTGTTAAAGTGTATAAGGAATAACTGGTTTAACCAAAGTGAGTGCAATCAAATATATGTATTTCCAATTATAAAAAATGAAGATGCTTTTAGTAGCAATATAAATACTCTCACTGCGAAATGTCTAGTCAGTTTAAGCCATGTAAGAAGTACTTATCGAAATGGATAAAAGGTACCAATAAAGGTGGCTCCTAGTTTTTCAAGAAAAGTACTGTATCCTAAATTTCTTCTTTCTGTAGCATTAGTACTTATTCTGAAATTATTTTTTGTTCTGCATAAGTACAAGTTTCTAACATAACACGTGGGCTAGAAAACCATAAAGTCGATTTTGTCTCAACTTACCTTTCCTGTGTCACTTTACAAGCTACCGCTCGTGAAGAACACTATTACGTGCGACCTTGTTTAAGGTTATGACAATATCATTCCCCCGTTGTAGAGGTAATACCTAGAGATCAAAGTCCCATCAATGTGTAACGATAATGACTATTCACGTGGTATCACTGTCGCGCTAAATAAAAGTGAGGTTTTATTGCAAATAGAAACCTCTCATTTAGTTATTCTGGTGGATAATTTGAGACTGAGAAAATCTAATAAAAGCAATGGTTTAACATAAGTAAAGTGAAAGTGCACGCACACACACACTGTGTTTTATTCAGTAGGTCCAGTTTCGTTTATTCATTTTAAAAATTAAAAGATTTAGTAACTATCTTTAAACGATATATTGATCGAATCTCCTGTTTGGTTGCTCTATAGATTGAAGCTTAAATTTATATTTAGTTCAGATAAATATAGCATAAAGTGTATAGGAATCGAGAAAACTGGTGCCATAACCAAGATTCGAATATGGGTTATTAGAGAGTGTGCTGTATTTGCAGAAAAATCTTATGATTTTTGCTTTAACTCTTATTTTATTAATTTAATAGACATTCAATAATAAAATCTTTATTACAAAGTCTCGCCTCTATATCACATTCAAACCTAAGTATTCTGGTATCATGGTCTCCACAATTCATCCAAAGTCTGCATATATTCTTCAGACGAATAATGTTCTTTATTTCATAGAATAATTTCCTAAACTTCGAATTTCACGACAAATGTTAATGCTCCGGGTAAGGCTCGAACTCACGGCCTTCAGATCATGAAACTGACGCACTGCCTACTGCGCTACCGAGAATTAGTTTATATATTGTTAAAGAGTGAAAGTTCTCAATAAACCATTTTTCATCATTTTGACTCTTCTTTTCCTCCCAAAGATTCAAAATGAAAATCATTTCCTCAGTTTCTTCATGTTGTTGGGTCACGTTGATATACACTAGATGATCAGAAAACGGATTAATTGAAAATAGTGTACTTATTCATCGAAAGGTACCAAGTTTACATATTTCGATTTTTACGGTAAGAACGTCAACTATTTTACGCATAGGTTTCTTCTTCACCTGAAGAAAATTTAAAATGGAAAAAAAAAACAAAAACGAACAAGACAAAAGTTAAGGAAATGCAGATTTTCGAAAATTGCTTTAACACATCGACAGTTAGCGTACATGTAGTTAAAATGAGCAAATTAATTCTTTAATCACGTCTGTTTCAGCAATATGCTCAGCACAAGGAGAAATTAGACTTTTTTGTTACGTAAATGACCTTTGTGTTCATTATGACGATATTTCAAATTAAGTTTAATTTGACCAGTATATAGTTCGTAGCCTTCACACCTAATTTGAAAGATATACTTTTTTTTCCTCTAAAATTTCGCATCTCCTTTTTAATTTTGTAATCTATCGCATAAGTTGCCGTAAGTGAATCTACAGATAATATACAATTTGAATCGATTGATGAATGTGTTTTTAACGATTGTGAATTGAGTGATGAGTCAAGAGTGGCAAGTTTTTTAATATTGAAAGAAAACGTCGTGAACAAACAAGACTGACTGTTGAATATTAAGTGCGTTAACATAAAAATTTTACAAACATCCGAACAGCGACATAAGCCCTGGTACTAAATGGAGAGCGCATGAGAAAAGTTCAGGTATAGCCAACTTTTGTTCTATAAAACAAACGGATTAATGTACGTATTCATCGAAAGATCCCAAATTTACATATTTCGATTTTTACGGTAAAACCGTCGACCATTTTACGAATAGATTTCTTCTACACCTGAAAAAGAAATCAAAACAACAAAAACTAACGAGACAAAAATTATTGATTCAGATTTTCGAAAATTGCTTTAACACATTGAAAGTTAGTGCGCTTGTAGTTAAAATGAGCTAATTAATTCTATAATCACGTCTGTTTCAGCAATATGCTCAGCAAGAGAAGAAAATAGCATTTTTTTTGTTACGTAAATGACCTTTGTGTTCATTATGACGATATTTCAAATTAAGTTTAATTTGACCAGTATATTTTTTGTTGCCTCCACACCTAATTTGAGAGATATACTTTTTTTTTTCTCTAAAATTTCACATCTTCTTTTTAATTTTGTAATCTATCTCATAGGTTGCCGTAAGAGAATTTTACAGATAATATACAATCTGAATCGATTGATGAATGTGTTTTTAACGATTCTGAATTGAGTGTGGAATCAAGAGTGGCAA